GATGTATACCTTGTAATATACAATATCAAATAAAGAAATGATGTTTACCTACTGGGATAACCCAAAAAAAAAAAATATATATTTTATTATTTTGTTTTTAATTGCTTATAATATTATCATTTCTAATTGAATAGATACAATTTGTTATAGTTTTTTTATTTAATGTTTACAGTTTATTTATTTGTTTATTTTAGATTTTTTTTATTTAATTGATTTGTTGTTTGTTATAACCATTAATATATATATTTGTTTTATATTTATTGTTATAATATTAGTAAATTAATATATATTTTGTTTATTATTTTACCATTTTTACCAATGTTTTTGTTATTATATCATTATATATATTATTTTGATTTTGATTTGTTTATATATTATATATTATTTATTGTAATATTAAAATAAATTATATTTAAACTTTAGTATAGAAAAATATATGTTTGTATTATTATAGATTTTTAAATAAAAGTAAATCAATTTTAATTTTTGATTTCAAAATAAATTTTATCATATAATAGTTATTATTTATATTATAAATTTTGATTTAATTTATATTTTTTCTTTATTTAAAATATAAAAAAATTTTTTGATATTTTTTTGACTTTATATTGATATATAATATTGTTTAATTTATAAGATATAATTTGATTAATACAAAGTTTGCTAATATTTAACAAGATATTTAATCTAATATATAATTAATTGGTAATTTATAAAATATAATATTAATTTTCTTTTTTAATTTTACTGTAAATTATATTTTTTGTTTTTTTTAATAAAAAATTACAAATATTTATTTGTTTGTTTAAATAAAAAAATATTGATATTATTATTATTTTTTTATAAATAAACTATATTCTTTTATTAATAAAATATTAATAAAAATATAATATAAGAAAGAAAATATATTTTTGTATTAAATAAGTTTAATACTAGTTTATATACTGTATATTAAATTATCTATATTATAAATGAATTCTTTTAAAATTATACAAATATACAGATAGTAACATATTAAATTATATAGTTTTTTTAAAAAAAATAATAAACAAAATTTAAAAGAAACATCAATATTGTAATTTATTTTTTATATTATACTTTTAATTTATATGATTACAAACAAGATAAAAATCTAGAATGGAAATATATTTTTTAATATATACTCTGAAATAGTTTTTTTATTAATACAATTTATTAAATATAAAAATTAAAAAAAATTAATTGAAATATAATCTTCAAATTTTTAGTAAATATTTTAAAGGTTTCAATTAGTATTAGTTATTAAATATAAAGATTAAAAGGTTAAATAGAATGCAATTTATATATATATAATATTTATTAGATAGTCTTCTACAATTATTATACATTTATATTTATTAATAGTTTTTTCCAATGTAAATTTACAATAATAATAATTAATGATGCAATTTTCATGGATTTTAATTGATAAAAAAAATCTAATAATTTTTTGAAGAATATAATTTAATTATGATTTTTCTATATCTATATATATAAGTGAAAAAGAAGTTAAACTAAAGGTTTTTCTCTATGCAACTTTTATTACCAAGGGATCCAAGTCTTAATAATCTGACCAAGAGTTTTATTCTTATATAGCTTAAATTTTTACAACCAAACTTTTAAAGTTAACCTATATATACAGAACTTGAGTAGAATTTATAAATATAATATTAGCAGAGATAACTTTTTATTTTAAAAAAGAAAAATCAATCTTTCACCCAAACATGCCTAGTATTAATCTTTCATTGAACCCATTAACTAATGATTGGCAATGGAAAGGAGCAACCAGAAAACTTTGCTTTAGAAAAAAGTTTTTATTTTTGATAATAACAAAAGAAGGAAAAAAGTTTCTTGAGAGAAAAAACTAACTTAGATATTAATATTCTTTAAATTTAATATATATATATTATATACAGTATATGGATAATTATTTTCGAAGGCAGATAGGGTTTTTCATATTTTATAATTGTAGTCTTAGAATTTATATTGTGTATATATTATTAAAAAAAAAAATAAGAACTGATAAATCGGTTTTAACATTTTCAAAAGTAATTATTTATATACTATCGGGTTAAAATGTAGTATAGGTGACATCTTCAAATTAATTACCACTAGACATTTGACGATCAACAAAACCATCAAAATCCTCAATGTTGCGAAGGACACGAAAAGTACAATGTAACGAACCAAATAGATCTCTATATGTAAGCGTCTCTGTTTTTCTAGAAAGACTTAAATAATTTAAAACTCTAGAGAAGTAAATCAGATTTAAAGCTAATATTGATTTGGTCCAATAATAATCATTTCCAGAAAGAAGAGCCATATTCAACATTTGGATTACTGGTGTCCAAGTGGAAATCATTATAATAGTCGCCTTCCTTAAATAAAGTTCTATTTCCCAGAAAGTACTTGCAATGAGATAGGAGGTCGGAGGCATGAACCGCATATGCAGCTGAGCTATTGTATAAAGAATCAGCAAAATCGTACACAATATTCCGGTTACAGCATGTAAGTAGATAAAAATATGTGTAAAATTATTTGCAGGGATATTCTTGGTATAAAATATAAAACAAATATCAGAAATGATATGACTTAAATCAATTACTAAAAGGGAACATATAAGTGTCCGTTTTTTCAAATGTTTATGAGAGTCATAATAATCAATAAAGTAATAAACAATGTAATTAGATAAGGATGCAATGAAAACTATGACAACTGTAACTCCCAAAATGATTGGAATCCAGATGGGTATTGCGAATTTCTCATAGTTTTTGTAAAACACTATAGTTGGTAAAACAAAAAGGGACAATAAAAAAAGGAAGTCATCGAAAATTCGTCTAATTTTAGCAAAAGAAAGCTCTCGTCTAATATTCATAGAAACTTGTTTGAATTCGTCTGAAATTGTCTCGTCTGGATTTGCCCCGTCTGAATGCTTCGAAGTTACTTCATCCAAATCTTCTACTTTATCCTCTTTATCCTTTTTAATTTCTTCATTGTCAAATAAAAAAATTATAAGTGTGGGAACAAGCGTATTAATTATTTGATCAAAAACGTCTTGTTTAGAATCATATTCGTCAGCAAAAGCCGAATCAAAAGCTGACAAAAGAATAATTCCAAAGAGAAAATTTCTTATGTGATGCATTTTGTTGGATAGTTGTAACAGATCGGTGGGTAAATACACTGTAAGAGTAGTCCTGTTTAGTATTTTATATTTCCAAAAAAATAATGACACACTAAACACTTATCACAATATCCGAGCATTGCGAAGGACATTTGGAAATGGACGATGTTAGTAAATCTCAGATCAACCTCTAAGATTTACTTATCAAGCGATCACAATAAATACTCTAGCCTGCATATTAATGAGACCTACTTTAAGTAACCTTCAATAAAGATTGGAGTACAGTATGTTGTCAAATAATAGAAAAAGACACAATAACATTTTTTTTTGGTAATTAACAATAAATATTGCATATTAATGTGACCTACTTTAAGTAATCTCCAATAAAGATTGTCTGGAGTACAGTATGCAATAACATTTTAATGAGACCTACTTTAAGTAACCTTCAATAAAGATTGACAAATAACAGGAACAATAAATAAACTCACAAACTAACATGGGTTATTGTGTTATTTTGGTGCATATACACAATCGCATTACCCAAATATCACGTACAACATATGACTTTCATCATCTATTACAGTAATATCCTTTTCAACTATCTGTATTCCGATTACATAGTCATTATTACTTATAAATAGACTATACGAATGATATCATCGTGAAGGCAATTCATACAATATTTAATGTGTATTAAAGAATCTATATCTTTGACTCAATTATTATCAATATGTTGTGTTTAAAAATTTCGTGATAAAGAGATGTATGGCATTTGTTAAATCATAGAAGAATGATAGTTATACTGTATAATACGAAATGCAAAGAAATCCAACACTTTATTGTGATGCAACTAAAGAAAATACAAATGATAATTATAATTATTTTGTAGTAATAAGAAAAGTCTAGCAAGATATTCTCTAGATGTTTTGAAATGACGGTTAACTCTAAGATATGTTGGACACAAAATTCGAGGCATAATTCATAGATGTGTGTGGTTGGTTGGATATCACGTACACACGATTTTGCCTTCCTAGTTTTGAATATGTTTTCCAACTATTATTGTACAAAATAAAGAATAAAATAGTGCCTTATTAGTCAATATATCACGAGGAAGATAACGGTTAAGATTTTGTATACAGTGGCGCCCAAAAGATTTGCATCACCCGGACAACAATTTTTAAAATCCAATAACATTATACATGGGCATTAATAAAATACAAATTTGAGTTTATTTTATTTA